TGTATAAAAGGCTAGAAGATTTGAATGGATATTTTGTTGTTGACAATTGATGGTGAACAAAAACAAAACATTCTACACAGAGGAGTAATATGATCCATGTTGTGTCGTGGAAGGTCTACATGACAGCAGACAGGGGGCAAGAGAAGCAGTAAGAAAGCCAGTGCACGATGCAGAGGCATCCTAGCCACGGCTCTATCCCTACCGTGTAGCACAGGCCCATTCGATAGTGGGGCAGTAAGTGCTGGATGAATCATGAACCAAAAAAATCTTCAAACGAGAGCTCCAGAGGCAACAGGCATGAAAGCAGCAATCTCTGAGAGGTTGAGAGAGAAGTTGTCATTCAGCACAGAGCTGGGAAAGGGAATATTTCAGGTCTTCAGAGTCTGGATGAGAGTTTTAAAAAAAGCATCAAGTCCAGTCTCAGAACCTCTGCTGAGCTCTAGCTGGAGTGGAAAGGAGTAACCTCAAGGCCTGAAGGGCTGAGAGTGTCCAGGGACCAGGAGCAGCTCAGGGATCCCATCCAACAATATCATTCAGGCTTGGGGTCCTGCCTGACCTCTGCCATGAAAGTTCAGGCACATGAGCACCCAATGCTCTCCATCAGCTTTTTAGGCAGCCCTTGTTCATCTTCTGACGGCCTATCCTTACCCTCTTCTCCCTTTCCTTCCCTCATCCCATGCTCACCCTCAGCTACTCCCTCTCAGGACAATGTTAGCACCAAAAAGGATTGATCACTTGACCAACTTGATCAACTGCTTCCTATTATACATAAGGTAACCTCCTCTCTTTCTTCTGACTTCAGGGGTATCTTTTCTATCAAAGCCTAACTAGATCCTCTGCCTTCACTGACAATTCATCCATCCATTTCTTTGTTCATTTATTTATTCACTGACAATTATTTATTGAACACAGACTCTATTCTAGGCACTGGGGACATAGCATTGAACATAAAATGGAAGGTCCAAGCTCTCATAGAGCTGACGTTACTGATGAGGAGGTAGAAGACAAACAGTGAGCAAATATGCGAACTAGAAGATCTCAAAGTTATAAGCGCTCTGAAAAGATAATAGTCAAGTAATAAGTTCTCCCAAACTCCTCTTGGATTTCTTATCTCAACATATTTCATGTCAACCATTCAATGACCTAAGCCCAAAACATGGGAAGCATCCTAGACTCATCCCTTTTACTCATTCTTTACTTTTAATTATCAGACACCAAACCATGTGGACTCCAACTCCCAATGGCTCTCAAATCTGTCTTCTCCTCCCTATCCCATGACACTTAATGCCAACACCACCACTTGTTGCCCAAATTACTTAGTATTACCCTGACTGGTCTTCTCTCTCTAGTCTTGCCCTCATCCTTCAAATCCTGACCCTGCTTAAAATCATTCAACGGTTCTCTATACCTTCTCCAGTCAACTTCAACCCCCTTAGTTTAGCATGTAAGGTCTTTCATTATCTGGGTCCTGCTGAACACTGCAACCTTGTTTCCCTACGCTCACCTGCCCTGTACAGCTTTCACTCAGCCATATTTGCAGATCCCCATGTCAGGGTGCTACACGCCCTCCTGACTTTGATATGTTGTGTCCTTACTTGAAGTGCTCTCTGCTCTTTCCTCTCTAACTGCTTTGTTCAAAACTCAGATCAAGTGTCACCTCATTTAGAAAGACCCTGTTTCTAATAATGACCATGGAGTTCTTATAAGGATTACATTAAGATATGTGAAACCCTTAACACAATGATGGCACTCAGCTTATGAGTTATTTCTCTGATGAAGTTTCTTGAATTCGGGGCAGGCATAATTAGCATATAAATAAAGTTCTTATTTGCAATTAAAACATCTCAGAATATAGACTTTGAGGTAAGAGATTTGTATCCCCTGTTGTTTTAATGAAATGGACTCATGCATAGGAAATTTTCCTTCTCATTTGTGTGTTTATTACCTGATACTTTTCTATTACAATTTGAGCCCCTAAACACCATTCTTAATGGCCTGGAAGTGAGTCTGATGGAAGACTGGAGACTTCCTTCTCATTTGTGTGTTTATTACCTGATACTTTTCTATTATAATTTGAGCCCCTAAACACCATTCTTAATGGCCTGGAAGTGAGTCTGATGGAAGACTGGAGATTGGAGATGAGATTGGAGACAATCCCCTGGACATCACCATCCCAGACAGCATACTCAGTAATAATTCACTGCTGTTCCCAGCCTTGAGAGTTGGCTGCTGACATTTCCAATTTCAGACTGTGGCTTGACACATCTGTAGCTGCTCTCTACTCCCTGGGTACTGGATGTAGAATTCACCAACCTGCCACTCTCCCTGGGAAAGTCTGTGACCACACACCTCCACCAAACCAAGATCTATCAGAGGGTGGCCTCCCTGGGCTGACTGCTAACTCTGTAGCCCTGACCTTTCATGGAGTGTCTAAGAACTCCCTGTGAAAGGAAAAGCTGCTTTCTGAGAATGGATTTTCCTTGGGAC